CAAAATTGGCTTGAAATGAAAAACACAAAATTAACATGAAAATATTTAAAGTAGGTTCTTTCATAATTAGTAATATTAGAAAAAATAAAACAAACCTTTATCATCTTCCTTCAGACAGACATCACAGGCTTCAATAATTTGAGCTAAATCTACATGAAGACCACCTTCTGAGTTCTCTTCTGAAATCTCAGCTCCTTTAGATTTCAGATAAGCACGAAGTTCAGCAGCCTGTTGAATCAAATAAGATTGTCATAAGTCTCTTTTATGTGTATATTTACAAAGGTGACTATAAATGTCAAAATATAAAAACTCAAACCATTCTGTCCTACTTCTGAAAAACCAAAAAGCAAATACTATATTTAAGAATTAATTTACTTCAAATTATATTGAAGGACTTCTTCCTCACTTCTACCATAGGAATCACAGGATTTCCCCACAAGGCCTGTGGCCCCAGACACACTTGGCACCACAAGGATCACCTTCAAAGTATCTTATGTCACCTATATCCTGTTAAGACTTCCAATATATAGCAAAAGCTTTCTAATATAACCCAAAGGCCTTCCATGTGTGCATGTATATGGGGTGGGGGGCACAGAGAAGAAATTGATTTGACTTGGCAAATTCAACTTCTTTAGAAAGAAATGAAAATTTTATTGTTCTCAACTACATATATATACACACAGCTACTAGGAAAGTTTAAAACATTATCTGGGCCAAGAGGGTAATCACTTGTTAATTTAATTTTTGAGAATCTATTTGAGACATAAATTTTGAGAGATGCAAAGATATTTTAAAAAGACATGTCTTTGAATATTGCCTCGAATAAAATGTATAAAACTGGACATAGGAGGTAACAAATCTCTTAAAAAAGTATCTGGGTGAGAAAGTACATTTGGACCAATAAAAACACAACTAAAGTACCACATTTAGTCATTTGGACATTTCCTATTTTGTTTGTTTATTTATTTATTTATTTGCTGTGCTAGGAATTGAACCCAGAGCCTCATACATGTTGCTACATCCCAGTTCCCCCCTTTTTTGCCTAAATTGACCTTGAAATTGTAATCTTCCTGTCCCAGTCTCTGAAGAAGCTGGGATTACAGGCATGCCACACCAGCTGATACTTAATAATCCTTCTCATTTGAGTGCTTAATATTCATGGTAGCCAAATATGAATGTAAATGGTTTTAAAGATAATAAACTGAAAAACTAAAACAAGCAGATGAAAGGATACCATTAATAAATGCACAGGCCCCACATTTTCAAGACAAAATTATTAAAAACAAAAAACCCACCTTGGTGTAGGCCATCAAGATTTTTTTTTTTTTGTAGTTGTAGATAGGCAGAATGCCTTTGTTTATTGAACCCAGTGGCTCATGCGCGCTAGGCAAGCACTCTACCACTGAGCTATGGCCCCAGCTCAGTCAACGAGATTTTTAAACCCACAAATATGGTTTTTAGTAAACATATTAAGTTGTAGACTTCTTGGTGCTATTTTTTTTTTTTTTGGCAACACATAGTAACTTCATTAAAGAGTTAGTATTAGAAGCAAGATTTTTTTTAAAAAAAGTTAACTGTCACCATATTAGAACAAAAATACCACTGGAAAGCATACTTCCCTAAGGCAGAAATATCTGGCTCAATCGAGAAAAAAAGGTGTTCTCGGCTCTGGATACTAAACTCTATCAACTAATCAAGTTTACTCTTTTTATATCATTTTCACAGACCACAATAGTTGAGCAGCAGTACAAGACAAAGGAAAACAAACAAGGATTACAATTCCACTTTTTAACTCTAATCAAACAATTCGACTAAACCTGAAACCCTGAAACAATTAGAATATTTCCCTGAAAGGAATGGCTAGCATGAAACTGACGTATTACTATAAGAAATGGCACTTCATTTCTGAAACAGGGTCTTACTATGTTGATTAGGGTTCCCTTCAACCTGGGATCCTCCTTCCTTAGCCTCAGGAGAAGCTGGGGTTATAGGCATGCACCACCACACAGACAGATATCAGACTCTGAAGACCCATCAGTGACAAAAATTTCTCAATTCACAAATTCACTAGGTTAGAAACAAGTGTTGCGGCTGGGGTTGTGGCTCAGTGGTAGAGTGCTTGCTTAAGACTTACAAGGAGCTGGGTTCGATCAATAGCACTACATAAAAATAAATAAATAAAAAATAAGGTATTGTGTCCAACTATAACTTTAAAAAATTAATTAAAAGAAAGTGTCAAATGCTTTTTTATTAACCTAGCAGCGAATTGTTGGTGTCAACTTCCATTACTAGTTTGTTGGCTTTTTTTCCTGTGCTTCACATCATTCTATCTATGCTTAGCTCCCTCCCTATTTTTAAAAAAATGTTTAGTTGTCAATGAAGCTTTATTTATTTATTTAATTGTGGTGCTGAGAATGAACCCAGTGCTTCAAACATGCCAGGCAAGTGTTCTAACACTGAGTTACAACACCAGTCCTCCCTCCACATTTTTGACCTCCCTTTTCATTTCCCCTTCTTTCTTTGCTCTACAGGGCTACAGGATCGCAATTCTACTATAGGGGAACGGATCACTTCTGCAATTCTATAGGATTATCTTATGCTATTAAAGGTACAGAAATCAAAAATTCCCTGTTAGCGGAGTAACAGAAAAAAAAGATAGACTTAGGACTTCATTTACACAAAATTAAACAATGTCATTTCATGTTTAGTTTAGCTCTCACCAATTCAACTTATGTTACAGGTAAAATACAAACAGAACCCTTGGACACCAAAGAACAACGCCAATAAGTAAACTTAAAAAGTATCGGATGTTTCACAACAGGTATGCCTCACAGCATGTGATTTGGGGGTTACAGTACTTTCATAACTAGGACTAGAAAACCCTAAACATGAATAATGGGCCACCTACTCCTTTGTGACCGCACAATAAAATCTTTTCATTCTTACTACAAAGTTGTTTTCCCCTGAACTGCTAATGTAGACTACAGACAGATTCCACCCCACCCGCGCCCGATGTGGCTGCGCTGGGGACAGCAGCAGACCCCATTCTAATCAGTCAAGGAGTACTGTGTCACAAGTGACGCCAGCTGGGAGTTCGACGCCGACCAGGAAGCTGGCGGTGGAACGTTGGACCCCACACCGCGATCGCGGGTGGACCGACTGGTGCGACTCAAGACTAGAGACGTGCGCCCCTATCATATGGCCGCCTCCCTACTCGTACACGTGGGGGCGAGAGCACCAGGTCTCATCCTCGGGGCGGCTCCGTGGGGCGGCGTCCTGTCCACTCGGCCCAGTCTCGGCAGCGACTCGTTATACCCCTACGACAACCTCCACATCCCTCTAGCGACACTATGGCCCGCGAGCACACCTGATCTTCCTCACTGATATCGATGAAGGCCGGGACGCTCATGATGAAGGCCCGGGAACCCAGGACGCTTCCCCAGCAAACCACGCCGACCGGAAAAGAGAGCAGGGCCGCGCGGCGGTTCCACAACTACTTCCGGGTCAGCCCCGCGCCGGCCTGGGTGGGGCGGGGGTCACCGAAATGGACGGGGCCAATCCTAGCGCGTATTCTTGCCGCAGCTGGAGGCGTGGCAGACGGATCTTGTGGGCGGCACCTGCTGGGCCACTTCCCGCCCCGCCCCTCGCGGCTTCTGGTCTTCAGCGTTTCGTTGCTGTTTGGACGTCTCGTTAATCTCTCCGCCGACGCCGCTCCGAGTCCACCTTTTCTGTGAAATTTTAGGCCTGTTCTGCCAATGAAGATTACGTGTGCCAAGAACAGTTGTTATTTTCTAGCCCCGTCCCCTTCTGCCTACCAGTCAAGCGGGCCTGCCTCTGTCTATTCGTGGATCCTAAGACGCTCTTGGCATTTCCGGGAGAGCCATGGAGATAGGCGTCCGGTGCTAAGTCTGACATTCCCCGCCAGTTAAGATTTTCGATCTTTGAGGGAGCAGCGGGCAGGCAATGTTCCCTGTGATGGGGACAACGATAGTTTTCCAAGGAAGCTCCCGCGTGCAGCCTGCATTCCAGTGGGGACACACGGAATATAAACATTAGTAAGAATTAGAAAGGCAGTCCTAAATGTCATCCTGCCTAGTTCTGTGGGGTGGAATCCTAGCTGCACCCTTGAATGGAGGCATGACTTAAGGCAATTATCTAACCTCTGGATTTCTATTTCTTCTTGGAAATATAAGAGGACTTAAGTACTTACCTCAGCATTGTTATGATTAAGTAACTATAGAAGGCATTTAGTATACGGTGAGCACTGTCTGCGTTGTTATTAAATAATTAAAGAGCATGTTAAGTAGAACTAAGAAGGTAAAATCTAAGAAGTTAAAAACAAAGCGTCGTGTGAGGCTATGCATGCTTATTTAGTTACAGTAATCAAGGAAAACAGCTGAAATGATATTGAGACCTGAAGGAAATGACGAAAGTACCCAGAAATACGTGGGAAAGTTTTTCTTTCAGAAGACAGCAAGGACCAATGGCCTGAGGCAGGTGTGAGGAGGCCTCTAGGCTGAGTATGAAGGAGAGGCGTGAGATAACCATTGCCAAAAAGGGCAAGGGCAGTGGTCAGATTTTTTTTTTTTTAAGGAAATATCATGCTCCAAACATTCTTTATTTTATTTATTTGTTTTTATGTGGTGTTGAGGATCGAACCCAGTGCCTCACACGTGCTAGGCAAGCGCTCTACCTCTGAGCTACAACCCCAGCCCAGTTGTGTGTGTGTGTGTGTGTGTGAGAGAGAGAGAGAGAGAGAAGAATCACTCTGGCAGATGTATTGCAAACTGACTTCAGTTGGGTGAGAACCAAATTAGGAAGACTCCCCTTAGAACATTGTTACAAAATCCAAGTAAAGAGGGGCTGGGGATGTGGCTCAAGAGGTAGCGTGCTCGCCTGGCATGCGGTTGGCCGGGTTCGATCCTCAGCACCACATACAAACAAAGATGTTGTGTCCGCCGAAAACTAAAAAATAAATATTAAAAAATTCTCTCTCTCCACTCTCTCTTTAAAAAAAAAAAAATCCAAGTAAAGAGGACCATGGAGTGGTAGTTAGACATTGATTGAATTCTGGTTCTTTTAGTGATAAAACTGGTAAGATTTACTGATAGATCCAGATATAGGGTGTAAAATAAAGGAAATCAAGGTGACTCCAAAAGTTTCACCTGGACTTAAGCCAGTACCCCCAAACAATCCAAGGATGACCACTTTCCTCTTATTTGAAATCGCAAGAAATCCTTGGAAGAGGATTGATATACAAGAGACTTGATACACACCTGGAATGGAAACTAGGAAAAAGTGATGGGAAACTCAGTAGTAAGAAAATGGCATACAAATTCAAATTAGTATGGGGTACCACTACACACTTTTCATAATAGATTTTTAAAAATTACCAAAAACGTCACTGTGTGTGGTGGATCACACCTGTAATCCCAGCAACTCCAGAGGCAGTAGGATCACAAGTTTGGAGCCAGCCTGGGCAACTTAGCAAGATTCTGTCAAATTTTTAAAAAAAGTATAGTTCAGTTGTAAACCATCCCTGGATTTGATCCCCAGTACTGCTAAATAAATAAATTAAATCAGAAATGTGAAGTGCTTACAAGGACATAGAGCAACTGGAGCTATTAGCTGGCAGAAATGCAAAATGGCAAAGGTAATCAAGATATTGTGGTGTTAACTTCAAGATAGACAAATAGGTCAAAAAACAATAGAAAGTCAAGGAATAGACTCATACATATATGGTGAATTGACTTTTTTGGTGGGGGGATTTACCTGGGATTGAACTCAGAGCCACTCAACCACTGAGCCACATCCATAATTCTATTTTGTGTTTTATTTAGACAGGTTCTCACTGAGGTGTTATCACATTGCCATTGCTGAGGCTGGCTTTGAACTTGTGATCCTCCTGCTTCAGCCTTCCAAAGATTTCAGGCATGTGCCACTGCACCCAGCTATGATGAACTGATTTTTAACCAAGATACAAAAGCAAATAGTGCTGGAACAATTGGATAGTCACATGTGAGAAAAATGAAATTGAATCCATACCTTGTCCCAGATGGAAAAATTAACTTAAAATGGATCATAGACCTAAATGCTAAATTTAGGACTACTGAACTTTTAGGAGAAAAACTTTAAATCTTGGGTTATATAGAGATTAATTAGATAGATGCTTGAAATCATGATTCATGAACTTAAAAATTATAAATTGGATGTTATGGTTTAAATATGTGGCGTCCCCCAAAAGCTCATGTGTAAGATAATGCAAGAAAGTTAAGGGGTGAAATGATTGGGTTATGAGAACCTTAACATAATCAGTGTGTAAATCCACTGACAGGGATTAACTGGATGGTAATTGGAGGAGGTGGGTCCCTGAGGGCATGCCTTTGGGTTTATATTTTGTCGTCATTGAGCAAAGCATTCTCTCTCTCTCTTTCTCCCCCCCCCTCTCCTACATGGTGGCCATGTCCTGACCTGCTTTCCTCTGCTACACTGTTTTGCCTTAAGTCCCAAGGAATGGAGCCAGCTCTATATGGACTAAGACTTCTGAAACGTGAGCCCCCAAATAAACTTTCCTTCTCTAAATATTATTAGTTCTTTTGGTGACAACAAAACTGACCAAAATATTGGAATTCATTAAAGTTAAAAACTTATGCTCTTTGAAAAACACTGCTAAGTAAATGAAAAGACAAGCCACAGACTGGGAGAAAATATTGGTCAACCTCCACATTTCTGATAAGAATATACAGTTGCCCCTCAGTATTTGTTGGGGATTAGTTCCAGGATACCAAAAGTCTATGGATCCTCAAGTCCCTGAAACAAAACAATGTCGTATTTATATATAACCCATGCACATCCTCTTTTATACTTTTACTTTCTAGATTACTTACAATACCTGATACAAAATAAATGTAAATAGTAGTTATCCTGTGTTGTTCAGGAAATAATGAAATTAATGAAAAAGATGAAATAATGAAAAAGATGTCTGCATATAGTCATTACAAACACAATTTTTCCTGAACATTTTGATCTATTGTTGATTGAATCTGTGGATACAGAACCAGCAGATATGGAGAGCCAATTTATATAATCAAAACTTCAGTAGTAAGAAAATAAGAATCTTCAAAACTCAGTAGTAAGAAAATAAGCTAATTCTGATGGCGTACACTTGGAAGGCTGACACAGGAGGATTGCAAGTTCAAGGGCAGCCTGAGCCCTTAGCAACACTCTGTCTCAAAAAATAAAAAGGCTAGAGATATAGCTTATTGATAAAGCACCACTGGGTTCAGTCTTCAAGAAAGAAAAAAATGATGGAGGGTATGAAGAGAAAGGGAGGGAAAAGAAAACAATTTGAAAGTGGGAAAAAAATTTGAACAGACTTCACCAAAGAATATGCACAAATATCCAATAGAAAATGGAAGGATACTAACATCATTAGTCAATAGAAAAATATGAATTAAAATTACAGTGACATAGCACTAAGAATCTACTAGAATATCTAAAATTAAAGGAATGACCATACCCAAGTGTTGGTGGCTAAGTGTAGAACTGGAACTCTCATATACTGCTTCTGGGAATGTAAAATGGCAGTTGGCAGAACAGTGACAATTTCCTAGAACATTTAACATAGAACCATCATATGACCCAGCTACTCTACTACCAAGTTATTTACCCAAGAAAAATGAAAACATATAATCATACAAAGACTTCTATATAAATGCTCGTTGCATCTTTTTAAAGTTCTACTATTATTTTATTGAAATAAAATCTATGTAATAAATTCCATATACCTTTTGTGGTATATAATTCAGTAGTTTTTAGCATGTCACAGAACTGTGCAACCATTACTACTAATTTTAAAACATTTCAAAAACACCAAAAGAAACCCTGTACCCATTGACAGTTACTCTCTATTCCCCATCCCCAATCCAAGTCTCTGGCAACCACTACTCTACTCTCTGTCTCTATGAATTTGCCTTTTCTGAACATTCCATATAAATGGAAGCATAAAACATAAGGCCTTCTATATGTGGCTCCTTTGATTTAGCATAATAGCATCAAGATTTATCCATGTATCAGTCCTTCATTCTTTTTGTTGCTTCGCAGGATTTCATTTTGTTTATTCATTTTTGAGTTGTTTCCATATT